TGTGTGTGTGTGTGTGTGTGTGTGTGTGTGTGTGTGTGTGTGTGTGTGTGTGTGTGTGTTTGTACATATATGTGTATATGTGTATTTATATGTGTATGTGTATCATCATCATTTTAGCCATTGTCTATCCAATGAAGGCCACTTCCATATGTTTCCAACCAATACGATCCTGAGCTTTCTTTTGTCAACTGGGTCCGCAATACTTGCTGATTCAACTTGTTTTAGGTCTCTTTCATGAATGCTTTTTACCACTACCTCCCGTATTTCTCCCTGTTCTTTATTGAGTTGTGTAAATGCCTGTATGGTGCAGTTAAACATTTCCTCTGTCCAGTCACCTAATTCTATAATAGAGTTATAATTTAAACCAACTCCTTTAGCTGGAATTAATGCTCATGAAATGGCATTTCCCAGGTCATGAGGTACAGGATGGTATTCAATATGTTCTTCATGCTCAAGGTGGTCCTCGTCCCACTGATTGCAGATGTGGAAGTTCCAATCATGATGTTGGATAATACAAACAGAGGAAAAGATAATTCCTATAGTACATGTACCAGACCAATAAGCTGGCAAAGATTTATAGGCAAACCGACCATAAAGGAGCCACCAATCCAGATGATTGGCAAGATAAATTCCTGGTTTGCCTTCCAACCCCTCAGGCATATAAGTTCTAACACCAGACATATAAGCCATGAGTCCCATTGCTGCAAACAGACTACAAAGAGCAGAGGGGTCCTTCTTGTAATCAAGGCCAAAGGTCTGATGACATATATGCCAATCATCCCACATGCTAGTACTGACTTTCCATGTGACTGTGCAAGGTGCATAGATCCCTAACTTATATCTGGAAGAAGAATTAAAATGACTAAGGCAAGCTGCTGCAGGGTGCTGTATACAAACCCCTAGTTTAGCAATCCATGACTTTCCTGCCGCAAACACAGGAAGTGTCCAGCCCTTGGTTACATTGTTCATGCTGAACATAAAGGTTCCCAAGGGTGCAGCTTCCATGACCAATCCATGTGTACCAGTGGGGGGGTATATGCATGCAGATCCAGCAAGATGTTACATTCAAAAGTTTAACCCATGCTTGCATATTCTGTATATGGATGTTGGAGTCCCAAATTCCTAAAGAGGAACTGGGAAATTGGGGACCACCTCAGCTTTCTATTTTACTGGGAAAGACAGGGAATGATGTTTGTAATTCTCCAGACAGTTCAGGCACAGATTTAGGATTCCCAGAATCAGAAGGAGGTGGCTGTTCTGCCAAGATGTGATCAACCAAAAATGGCAGGACCCCCTTCTGATGTCTGGTTTCTCCTGGAAGCAGCATATCAGATGTCTTACTTTGGCCTTTGTCATGCAAAATACCCCTTTTAAGTCCAACCACAGCATTATGGCAAGCATCTGGCTGAAGTCCTGGAACTAACTTTCCATGGTGAGATACACATGATGGGGCCTTTGGGTTAGCAGCTGGACTCTCCTGACTATGAGACCTTCTCCTCTGAGACATAGTGGCAGGCTTCAAGTGTGGCAAAGTATCAAGGAAGTCCATGCCTGTAGGGTCTGTGCCCCTCGCCAGGTCACATACCTCAACCATGGCCAGAACCTGACCACCCCTTCCATAATCCCCCATAAGGGTAGATCAAGCTCCACAAAAAGAAAGAAAGAAAGAAAGAAAGAAAGAAAGAAAGAAAGAAAGAAAGAAAGAAAGAAAGAAAGAAAGAAAGCATGGAGCAAGGAAAGAAAAGCAAGATAGAGTAACAAAAAAGAAAATATGAACAATCCAAACATATATCCATCCATCCATCCATCCATCCATCCATCCATCCATCCATCCATCCATCCATCCATCCATCCATCCATCCATCCATCTATCTATCTATCTATCTATCTATCTATCTATCTATCTATCTATCTATCTATCATTATCTATCAATCATCTATCATTTATCTGGAGAAAACCCTAACCCCTTCAATTCCTTCAAACCTATGCAAACAACCGTTGTGACTAAAAAGACCTTTCATTATCTAGAGAGCTAATTAATTGATAGATAGATAGATAGATAGACAGACAGACAGACAGACAGGCAGACAGACAGACAGACAGACAGACAGACAGACAGACAGACAGACAGACAGACAGATTATAGACATGCATAAGTTTGTCATTGGATGATGTCAAATTTGAAATCAACAAATTTGCAGATGACATTAATCTGGCAGGAATAACTAACACCCTAGAAGACAAGCTCAGGATCCAAAACAATCTTGACAGACTTGAACAATGGGCCCTATCCAACAAAATGAATTTTAATGTGGAGAAAAGCAAAGTTTTACATTTAGGCAGGAAAAACCAAAGGTATAAATATAAATTATGGAAACCTTCCCCCTCTGAGGTGAGGTCAGCTCCATCCCTCCTTATTTTCTGAAGGTTTTTCAAGACCTGGCTTTGTCATCTGGCCTATAGGTCTCTGGCAACCAGTGATGTCTTGTGGTGGCTCTGTTGTACATGGTGGGTTTTATATGACCCATGGTTGACATGTTTATTGTATTTCTGCTATTTTTGTGGTATGCACATCTTAACTCATTGAGTCATACAATGACTTCACCATTATTTCCCCACGTTCAAATCATTTATGGAGAACCGATTGATAGCTTCCAAATCCAAAAAGGCATGAGGCAAGGTTGCCCATTATCACCTCTGCTGTTTATACTATCTCTTGAGGTACTAACTAGAGTAATTCGGCAAGATGAGCAAATCAAAGGTCTAGAGATTAAGAAAGAGACATATAAAATACAAACCTTTGCAGATGACTTAGTCTTTATAATCGAAGAACCATTACAATCAGGGATAAGATTGATGGAAATACTGAGCAGATATGGGGAGATAGCTGGCTTAAAGATAAATAAAGAAAAAACTAAAATGCTCGTCAAAAACATGACCAAAATCCAGGAAAATGAATTGGTTGACAGAATAGGTGTTCAAATTACAAACAAAGT